ATATTACTTTACTTGGGTCATTCCTATCAAATATGAGTTTGATATGAATAGACTGGGTAAGAATAATATATCTGATAAAAGTAAATGTTTTCTCCGGATCAGATGGGATAAAGTTTCATCCTGGTTCTAGATAAATATTTACTATATCTTTTGGGTGCTTAGGTGAGCATGAATAGGTTCAATGGCAAACACTGTAATGGGTTCACCTTTTTTGACATAGTCAACTTTTGGGCCTATGTGGGCTATGAAAGTTGACTTGGGTTTAGAAACTGGGTATGGAACAACTAGTTGACTTGGGGCAACTATTGTGGGCTTGAAGAACTAGTTGGTTCTTTTTGGACATCTAAACAAAAGTGGATGGGGCTACCAAGGTAGACTGGACCACTGGTCTTACTGGGTTAGGTTTACCAAGAGGTTGATAACGATTAGCAATTTGGATTGGGCTTGACAAGACTACTGGGCTTGGCAAGGTTAACTGGGTTTTGGTTTTTGCAGTATCTCTCCCAACTTTGGAAGAGGTACTAGCCTTACTAATTTTTCTGTCCGCCATGAGGTTCCTGCAAAAATTCACGGGTTTTGAAATCAGGTATGCAGTTATTACTGCCTTTAATATATTCGATGTCAAAATCGAAAATACTTAAAATAGACTGTCATCTGGCAAAAATCTACTTACTAGCAATGTTTTGTACATCATTTTTCAAAACATATTTTGCAGATTTACAATCAACTCTTACTAAAAAGTTTTGATTTAGAATATCATCCTGGAATTTAGAGATACACAGGACAATAGATAAAATCTCTTTTTTAATAGTACTATAGTTCCTTTGTGCATTATTCCAGATACCAGAGTAGAAACGAACAATTTGCTCTGGGGAGTCTGGAGTGAGCTTTTGAAGGAGGATACCACCGTAGCCAATGTCAGAGGCATCAGTTTGGATGATTTTGAAAGAATCAACTGACGGAATACCAAGGCAAGACAAAGTTTTGATGAACTGCTTGACTTGTTGAACAATGGATGTATGTACAGAAGTCCAAGGAGGAGGATTTCCTTTCAACCTGTTATACAGAGGTTTAACGATTTTCCTAAGATAATCCCCTCCTCTCTCTCTCTCTCTCTCTCTCTCTCTCTCTCTCTCTCTTACATATTTTTAGCCAATGTGTGATGAATGATTGTGTAGTACCTTAGAATACTCATCCATATACTAGCATTGGTGAAAAAACTCATAGGGCCCGAATGATTTCATCACATTCCTTAAAACCCTTGTCTGCTGCAACAAAACCCAAATCCACAAAACACAGTCATGGTCTTCGCAAACCATGTAACGATCGACATTTGAAGGTGGACGGCCGGGACCGTCGAATCAGACTCCCTCTTGGATGTGCTGAAAGTGTCTTTGAGCTCACAAAAAGGCTTGGCCATCGCACCTCAGGCCAAACCATACAGTGGCTTCTGACCCAGGCTCAACCTGCCGTCGATGCTGTCTTAGCTTCTTCTTCTTCCTCTTCTCCACCAATTCTGCAATGTTCTGTCAAGTCTCAACCTTCTAATTATGAGGTCAATGCTGTGACAGTTTTTCCGGAAACTCAACCTTCTGCTTCTATGGTGTCTCCCACAATTTATGAGGCCAAATCTGTACCAGTTCTTCCCAAAAATGTAGCTACGAACCCGCCCGGTGCAGTTCCAAGGTCCAGACCATTGTTGCCACCCTTTAAGTATGGTTTGGAGAGCTTTGGAACTGAGTTTTCAGCTGAAGAAATTGCAGCCATGTTCTTCTCATCCTCATTGGAGTCACTTTCTGACTAGCTAGCAAGAAAAAAAATGAAGGAAAAGGTGGGAGGAAATGGAAGAAAATTGGGTTAAGTACTTATCTTGTTTAAAAAAATTATGAACTGTGAATGTTTCGTTTTGATTGCATTGCTATTGTATTGGAGTTGTTTCTACTGTGGCTTCTTAACAATTTATGTCATCATCTGCAACTTTGTTGGAGTGATGAAAGTTTTGGGGTCACTTGTAGAAAATGGAAGAAAAAAGTGGCATCTTCTTGATATGAATCAGATTGTTTTTTAACTAGTTCTTTTTTCTTGGGTATTAATGCTCGAATTTATGTTTTTAAGAGCAAATGAATTTAATCCTATGAACCTTCAAATCCCTATTTGAACATATTTGAATTTATCAGTTTGAATTTTTCCTAAAAAACATTGCATTGAATTTACTCCAATCTTGACAATTGAATATGAATAGGCTATTATGAGTTTGACCAAGCCGCTGTGGTGAAATCGGTAAACATGCTGCTCTTAGGAAACAATGCTAAAGCATCTCGGTTTGTGTCCGAGTAGCGGCATACCATCTTCTCCATATAGTTTTTGGGATATACTCAAAATGCAAACTTTTGTTTTATTGTCAAATTTAATTACTCTAGGGATAAGATTAGAGATAGGGTCTTGCAAGTGGTTTATTTTTTTTGTTTTGGGCAAATTAGAATTTGAATTGGTTTCAGGTCGTCCCAAAAGTTAACCCTCATTGTGTTTTAATCGAAGAATGTTACATGTTTAGTAAATGTATACAAGTTTTCAAGGTCTAAATTTGGGGCAAAGTGAAGAGTAAGTAACCATAATTAGATGTACAACATGAAAAATGTTATAATTGAGAGGAAATGTGGGACTAATAACCATACTTTAAGGTGTAGCATGAAAAAGTGATAATTAAGAGAGTAATTGGACATAAGATGCAAAATTGACGGGATCGAAGCGTAATTTACTCTCTTGCTAAGTCCAGTGGGCAACACCGTCTGGGTTGGGTTTGCGAGGGTTTAGTAAAACCAATCTAACATCCAAACTAGCCTTATAATATTGGTTTCAGACCACCCACCTCAAAATTTTGAGGGAGACAAATAGATTAAAGGCCAATTTTAAATTGAAGTAACTATTAGAGTTACTTCTAAATGGGTTAATAGAAATAGTTTTTGGATTAGATTGTTAACATCTGAATCAAATAGATTGTTAATTGGTAATTAATTAATGTTTTGTTTGGTATGATAAAAAAATAAAAATGTGAAAAATCGAAAGATTGAAAAGTTAAAAGGACAGATAAAATATAATGTTTTGTAAGCAAATAAAATATATAAGGATGAAAAAATAGATGAATTAATCTTTTTTCCTACTAACAAAAACTTTTCCCTTCCAAATTATGAGAAAAATTGGATAAAAAGTTAATTGTGTACTGAAATATTTATTGTTTAACTTTATATTTTATTTATCTGTTACATATAATGTACATATTAATTTCACATATAGATACAATGGTAAAATATGTATTGATATTTTTTTTCCATCTTTTCTCTTTTCCCTCTATATACTATACTACTTATAAAAGTGGCTAACAATGAAAAACTTTTGATTTCCTCTTTTACCCTCAATTAATATAATAAAGTTCATTATATTCTTCATACCCTTTTAACTTCTTAAATTAAATACATAAATCTATCATATTTCATGATCTTCTAAAATTAATTACATTCACAAACAATGGCTAACAACGAAAAACTTTTGATTTCCTCCTTTACTCTCAATTAATATAATAAAATTCATTATATCCTTCGTACCCTTTTAACTTCTTAAATTAAATACATAAATCTATCATATTTTATGATCTTCTAAAATTAATTACATTCACAAACATATATATATGTACTACTTATAACCCTAATTAATTTTAACCCTATTTAATTTTTTACTACCAATCATGTCCTATTGCATCATTTAACCTCCCTTCAATATTATATTATCTATCTAACTATCTTTCTCAATACTTTAACAAAACTTTTGATTGACAATAATGTTCTTGAAACATACTAACAATCAAATAATATTTTTTGTTGTGATTTTTCACTGGCTAGAAATCTCTTTTGCGAGTTACTATCAATTAAAGAAACATAACTCTTATAGAACCCTTGGAGTTCCATAACCCCCCAAACATGGAATGGTGAGAAGTTGATTGGCTTGCCACACTTATAAATCGATTTTCGTAAAGCATATCTATATATTATTTATAGATTTCAGCTAACGCATCACCATGATGGAGCCCAAGCCAAAGGTTTTTCCTCTCCATTTGCGGCGACTAACCAAACCAAATATTTTCTAATTCCTTTTGTTTTGTCATCTTTATCATTATGTATTGATGCAATATATATGTTATGACACTATCTTTATTACAAATTATCACAAATTTTCTCTCGGTATCATATTATATCTTTTAATTGGCTAACCATCATAGTTTAAGTTCTTCATAAATGTGAGCACTTTGTGTTTCAAGATTTCAACTAAAAAATTGAAATCATCATTTGTATATTGTGGGTGATATTTAATTAATTGTATGTGTATGTTTTAAGGCTTCCCATCAGGTGACTAAAATGAAAATACAAGTTTTATAAATCGTTTGTTCTCTATGGTATTGCAAGGTAATTCTCAAGTCTATTTAAATACTTGAAATAGTTATGTTTCTTGAAAAAAGCAAAAGAAAATAATAAAACTCCTATCAATATATTTTCATGGATGGAACAAAAATACTGCTAACAGGTTGTAAGTTGAGTAGTTCTATTTATTTAATTTTGTACCTGAATTAACCAAGTTAGAATTGACCTGTGAATTTAGAATTAAAAATTATTGTTGTTTTTTTTATGAAATTTTCCAACATATATCTTAGAAATCAGTCGATCTAAAAGTGCATCTTGGTATCTTAAGCACCATTGAGTTTTGCTTTGTGTATTTTTCGTTGTTTGGGCTTTGTGTATTTAGATCTATTTATTAGAAAGTTGTTTTTTTTTTTGGCAATTTACATAAGAAAAATCAATAGACATAATTATTGACATATTTGTTATCAACAGGGTAAGAGTTTAATGGCGAATTTCATTGGTGATCAATATAGTTCGATTTGGAGAAACTAAAAACCAAAATTGTAACTTAAAATTATCAGCGTGCAACACACGCGTACATTAACTAATCTTATTAAATACAAAAAAAAAA